CATATACTTCATGGGAAGTCTAGAGACAATCTCCTCTACCAAATCCTTTGGAAGATTTAAGATCATCGTTGTCGTTTATTCAAGTTGCAACAAGGTTTTTTTTTGTTTGGGAGATAACCTTCAAAAACGTGTTTCTTCTTTTACTCTGATTTGTTACCGCGGTAGAAGTAGATATATATATGAATCTGAAGTTGGGCCAACCGTGGGCTTCAGAATCTTTAAATTCATTTGTTGATCTTAGAAATTTGCTGGTGTTATAAACCATATGGATGGACTCCATAACCGGCCCATGGCCCATTAGGGTTTTAGCTTATCCTCTATTATCCTTGTATATATATCCCCTATTCTATTAATGAAAGACATAGTTCATAACACGTTATCAGCACATAAGCTCGAAAAAAAAAAAAAAAAAAAAAAAAAAAACCCTAACCCAAAACTTGACGAGTCCTAGCCGCCTGATCTTGTAGAGCCGCTTTATTTTCTGATCTCACCACCACGTCTTATTCCCAATCTTTCCATCACCAACTACGATCAAGGTAAGTAGCGCCGCCTCTTATAATCGATAAGCATATTTACTTTTCATCGATCACTGAATCATGTGTTACGTTGATTTATTTAATCATACATAAGAGATCTATTTATTATCATGCATACATATTTTATTCATCACCGTAACACTCTCTGATAATAGATCCAATATTTGCAGTCATGTTTGACTTCCATTCATTAACAGTTTATTAAGATGTTTTTATTGTCACTTCGTTGATAGTATTATTTTCCAGCTCGTTGACTTCCGCCTGCAATATTCACATGAGATCTGTTTATTACGTTCATGGCCTAGAATCATTAATATATTTATATTAGAAGAAGTCCATATTTGATTCTTTGGTTATTATTATCATGGCACATTGATATGTTTTCGCCGCTTGTATTATTGTTTTAAAATTTTGACTTCTTCGTATTAAATTTGACCCACTTTTACAAGTTTACAATTATTTCTTTAAGCTTTACGAAGATCGCTCGTTATAGCTGAATTGTTTTTGTCATGATTAATATTTTATTATTTGATTTGACAAATCGTTTGATATACGAGTTATTTTTGATAGATTAGATCTGATTATCATTAAAATAACCATACGATATCGTTACCTGATGTATTAATCAAACAACCATTTTTTTTATTCAATGAACCCTCATTAATCGTATGACGAAAAGTTTGTAAAATCATTCATTTAAGTTGGTCTTTAATCAACCGTTGATTTGAGTTCATGTTAAAGTATTTGATTATAGTAATAGGTTCATTACACGAGTCGTATGATATTCCTGAGCATTACTAGTTACGCTCCATAATATTTGTTTCTTGGCATTGATCGTAGTATGAGTTATATTATATTCGCCTCATGCCTGCTATTATCTGAGTTATAATCAACTATTCCTGAGCG